GTAATGTATGGGGATTAACATAAGAATAAAAAAAAAAAAAAAGCAGAGATTTTCAAGGTTCATTTAAAAACAACCCAAATATGCTACCTACAAGAAACTTGCTTCAAATATAACAGTGTAAATAGGTTGAAAGTAAAAGAATGAAAAATAATAAACCATAAAAACATAATAAGTTGTAAGAGTTGTTTATATTTTCTTAACACAAGTCCATTATCAGATATATATTTCCTTGGTTTATGATTTAACTTTTCATTTTCTTAACTGTGTCTAATGATTTAATATTGAATAGAGCAATAACCAAATCAGAAAAAGTCACAGACATGGAAAGGACAGCATAGGGGATATAGTCAATAATATTGTAACAATATTGCATGGTTGCAGATGGTAACCACATGGTGATTATTGCATCATGCATAGAATTATCAATTCACTATGTCATATACCTAAAACTAATATAAACTGTATGTCACCTACACTTCAATTGGAAAAAAGAAAATAGGCACAATATTTAAGCAGATATTTCAAAAAAGATATATAATTGGCTAGTAAACATATGAAAAAATGCTCAGTATTATTCATTAAGGATGTGCAAATTAAAACCAAAATGAGATACTATTGCACACCCACCAGAATGGCTATGATTAAGAAGACAGATGTTACCAAGTGATGGCAAAAACTTGGGGGAAAAATTGTCATATATTGTTAGTGGGAATATAACAGTAGTAGAGTCTCTTTTGAAAACAGTTGGGCAGTTTCATAAAAAGTGAAACATAGACTTTTCATTTCGCCCAGCAATTCCACTTCTCATACTTTCACTTAACTCACTCAGAAGCACAAAGGCATTTATCAGTGCCCAGAGATCCACACATCTCCTCTCCTCCACTACTACCTCTGGATCCAGATATCTTTGTTGACTTATCTTGAGTCTGAACTACTTTTCAACAAAGGGTGCTGGAATAATTAGATATCCAAATGCAAAAACTTTTACTCAGATCAACAGCCCACACCATATAGAAAAAGTAATTCAAAACAGATCATGAATTTAAATGCCATAATACTTAGAGAAGAAAACATAACAGAGAAATCTTGGAACTCTGGGATAAGCAAAAGATCTCTTACATATGACACCAAAAGCTCAATCCATAATAAAAAAATGAGACGTTAGAATTCATCAAATTAAGATTCTCTGCTCTTTGAGAGACACTATTAAGAGAATGAAAAGACAAGACAGATTAGGAGAAAATATTTAAATCATATGTCTGATATACTTTGCATTCAGAATATATCAAGAAATCCCAAAACTCAAGACTAAGAAAACAAACAACCCTATACGGCCTATGAGAGCACACACATTGTCTGTCTTACTTACCACTATATTTGTTTAACAATGTTTAACAACAGAGCCTGGTGCAGGATAGACCCTCAGTCTCTATTTGTTGATGAAATAACTATATTGTTTGTGCTATTAAACCTCTGAGACAAAAGGGACAGTAAAAATCATAAAGGGAAAATGCTGACTACTAAAGGAATAGAGATTTTTAGGTCTATTTGAGGAAAGGACAAAAATTCTTCTACTAATATAACCTCTCCTATTATCTGTATCTCCTGCCCTGAAGTCCCAAGAGGCAAAAGCCAGTGTAGGTTCCTTTTATTCCTGAAGGCTCTAAAAGGTTATCTTAGTTTCTTGTCCTTAAGATCTAGGATCAGAAGTAAATCTCCCTTTACCACACTCCCCTGAGACCAAAGACCACAGGGAGAAGAGCATCTTTCTATTTTTATCTTCGTTGGGGAAACAAAGGAATCTCCCTAAACAAAGTGCCCTATAGCAGTCTAGTAGACCTCTCTCATTTCCACCACAGCCTTTCAATAGAGGTTTATTGAATGAATGAATGAATGAATGAATGAATAAATAAATGGCCAAATCTCAAGTCCATCAAAGTCCATATATCCATGACAAAGCTTCACAGGAATTCCAGACATGCCTCAGTCAAAAATCTCACAATTTACCATTTCTGGATTTACCAATATTCAACCTTTTATACTTAAAACTTTATAACTTCTGAAAAGAAGCTAGAGAATGACAAATGAACTCTTTTTCACTTTCTCTGAAAAGATAAAGGACTGATCCTCTTCTTCCTTATATTCTTTGTGTGAAGTGATTTATAAATAATTAACTTCATTTACCCTATTATTTGAATCACTTGCATTTCTATTTTGATTTCTTACTGTTCTCTCCATAGCTTCATACACTGCATGCCCTTACTAGGATTTGGCATCTATAACTAACACAGTTTCCATCTAGGAAAACATTCTTTTCTTCAAAGTCTTACTCAGTGCAATTTTAACATCTTTGTTCCTCAGACTGTAGATAAAAGGATTCATCACTGGCCCCACGATGGTATAAAAAACTGTGGATACTTTATCTTGATCCAGAGACCCAGCAGGAGAAGACTTAAGATACATGAATGCTGATGATCCAAAGAAGAGAGAAACAGCAACTATGTGGGAGCTGCAGGTACTGAAGGCTTTGGACCTGCCCTCTGTAGAACGGATGTGGAAGACGCTGCAGAGGATCAAGGTGTAAGAAATGGAGATGGTGAGACTGGGCACGATTACGTTGACGCCCACCACAGTGAAAACCACCAGCTCGTTGATGTAGGTGCTTCTGCAGGAGAGCCGGAGGACAGGAGGTATGTCACACATGTAATGATTGATGAAGTTGTCCCCACAGAAGGTGAGTCTCAGCATGCAGCCGGTGTGGGCCATGGCACCCACAAACCCCATTACATACGCTCCTGCCATCAGCATGAGGCAGACCTGATGGGACATGATGGCCTTGTAAAGCAGGGGCTTACAGATGGCCACATACCAGTCATAGGCCATTGATGTCAAAACACAGCACTCATCAATAACAAAGAAGGAGAAGAAACAGAGCTGTGTCATGCACTCTGCATAAGAGATGACGTTCTCTTTTACAAAACCCATCAGCAGGGCGCCTGGATGGCTCAGTTGGTTAAGCGACTGC